TCCACACACACACTTTGACACATGTGCGCGTGTGTCTACACACACACACACACACACACACACACACACACACACACACACACACTAATTAAAATGTTAAAATTTTTACTCTCAAAGTAAAAAATTAATCAGAAAACACTTCCATAGAATTAATAGCCTCAAGTGTTTCCCACTTCTGCTGGGCCCGTCCTTTTGGTTCATCAAATAAACGGGCCCGGCACAAAGAGCCTGAAGAATCAGCCCCATCTCCTAACAACCAGCTGCCAAGCAGCCTTGCTGGCTGTAGTCATGGGCCACAGAGGTCTGTACTGACCTGAAGATGCTGCTTGACCATCTCGTTGCTTAGCCCCAGATGCCTCTGGCAGGCTCCCGTGTTACAAAAGCATCCAGTCCGCAGGTGAATGTTGTACAGGCTGGCCATTTTGTCCACCTGGGGATTAAAGGTCACCATGGAGCCAGTGTTAGAATTGTCTGCTTTACTGTGATTACCTGGAACAGAGTTCCAGAACAGCAATGAATCTCTCTTTCCTAACCAAGAGATGGTAATGTCAGCCTGGACACAGTCTCTAAAATGCATGACTGTTGTGTTCTAGATGTCCAGTGTCCACACGGGCTCATGTGTTTGAATAGTTGGTGCCCAGCTGGTTGTGCTGTTTTGGAAAGTTATAGAACTGCTGGTAGGTCCAGCTGGAGGAAGTGGGTCGTGTAGGGGTGGTGGGCCCTATAGGTTATAACCTAGCCTTTCTTCCCACTGCTGAGCCATGAAGAGGTGAAGAATCTCGGCTACAAGCTCTGGCCACCACAAAGCTGTCAGCTGCCATTCCTTCCTCACCATGATGGACTGTCTCCCCTTCAACTGTGAGTCAAAATGAATCTTCCCTTCCTGAAGTTGCTTTAGCCACATGTCTTATCACAGTGATGAGAACAGTCACAGATGCAACGATCTACGGGTCTACTAAACACTTCCACTGAGGCTCACAAGAGTAACACTGAGTGGGGTCACAGACAAATCCTGGACATTGGCCACCACCAGGTCTGACCACAGAGCACAAGTTCTGACTACAGGGAGGGCCCAGCTTGGCTTACAGCTTGCAACATAAGCCTCACAGCTGATGCTGGGTGGTATCTATTTCTTTTCCTAATTTCTCCAACTGTGGGCTCAATCAGACTTGCTGCTCAGTCCAGAAGTTTCTGTGAACTCTTTGCTGACCTCTGGAGGCTCCGGAAGGTACCCTGACTGGCTCTAAACTCCTAGGCTCAAAGAGTCCTCCAGTCTCTGAGTAGCATCATGCCTCAGTACCAGGCTGGGAAATAGATTTTGTCTGAGGTGTAACAAAGGTGCCTGGGGATTAGGGCCTTCAGGGGAAACAAAAACTGTCTTCCAAAGTCAGCCAATAACTGACTGTTCCAACCCTAGCAGTTCCCAACCTGCAAATGCATGGTTTCCATGCAAGAGGGTACATCTGCAGAAACTATTTTTAACCAAATTCTTTGACATCATCACATGTATAGACTAAGGCAGAAATGAAGACTTCCATGATACTTAGTGAAATGCTGCTGCAGTTTATTTTTTAAGAAGAGGGAGGCTCTGGGTTTCACCTCATGCCAACGAGTGATGCTGTAATGTGGTCTCATGAATCTGCTGGCTACTGAGTTGTCTGTACATTAGTGACCTCAGCTGTGATGTTCTGGCCACACTACTTTTCTGTAACTATTTCAGGGTGCTTCCTTTCAGAGGCAAGTTGCCATTTGCCCCCTTCTCCAGCTATCATAAATCTTGGCCTCCCTCTCTTCCCATTTACCTGAGTAAATGGGTTAAAGGCATACATACATACACCAAGTTTGACAGAATCATGTGTCAATGAGTGTCTACGCCGAGCATGGTGGCGCATGTCTGTAATGTCTGCACTGCAGAGGTGGAGACAGGGAGATCAAGAGTTCATCCATGGCTGCAGTCAGCTCTACACCAGCCTTGGCTACATGCAACTCTGCTCTAAATAAATAAATATAAAGACGAAATCCTCTAGTGAGCCCCAAATGGCGTCTCCAGCAGAGCCTGGGTTTCCTCACAGCTCCTCCCAGGGCACAGAGGCCTTTAAAGGAAATTCCAGGGCTAGAAAGGCTTCCAAGTCCTAGACAAGAGCACCTCCAGTATAAAAGGGCCAGCAGGATGAATAGGAAAAGCTTGAGTGGGGACTCAAACCAGGCATGGTGGCCAATGCCTGTAATCCCTGCACTCGGGAGGTACAGATAGGAGGATCCCCAATAGTTCAAGGCCAGTCTGAGCTACAGAGTGAATGGCAAGTCAGCCTGAGCTAGAGTGAGACCCTGCTTGGAAAAAGAACGACAAAAACGAACCTACAGCCTACCTGTGAGTAACCAACGACATGCCCACTGTCATCCAGCACATTAAAATTGATGATTGGACCCTGAACATCGGGGCTGCTGAACTCAGAATCACTGTAAATCCGCACCACGGGGGCTCCATTGGGGTAGCAGAGGGCGGACAGGGCACCGTGGGTGTACCGTGCCAGCTCAAAGGTGTGCTGTTTTATGTTCTCCATGCCACCTAGGACCGAAGTGAAAGAGCGAGTCAGGCAGGATATTCATACAAATTCACTCACTTGTTTCTAAGAAGACAAGATTGTTACAGCTGGTCAACCAGGACCACCTGTCAATGACTTTAAATACTTGTAAAATGGCATAGTGTTGCCCTTATGACAAAGTTCATGTCTTTGGCACAGAACAAGTTTGCCTTTGTTGTTTCTATGTAATATTTCCATAGGAATTCTTGTCATCATCTCTTAAAAATACAAATATATGGGGAAAATATAAATATATGGGACTGGAGAGATGGCTCAGCAGTTAAGAACACTGGCTGTTCTTGTAGAAGACCCGGATTCAAATCCCAGCACCCACATGGCAGCTAACAAGTGTCTGTAACTCCAGAAATTCCAGGGGATCCGACAGCCCCTTCTGTCCTCTGAGGGCATTGCACAACATGGGTGCACTTACCTACATGCAGGCAATACACACATACACATAAAGTAAAAATAATAAAATATTTTAAAATATATATGTATATAGTATGTACATATGAGTATATAGATACATTCATATGCATATATATTTATAGTTTCACACATATATATTTATAGTCACTTAAATATTCAGATAATTTAGACCCTTTGGTAGCCACTGACAAAAGTACATATGTGTTTTTCTTCATCTTTTTTTGCCATTTTTGTTAATTTTTAACTATTTTTAACATTATATATAGCAATTAAAGAGACCGCTTACTGAATGAATGAGAACTTTAAGTTAAATGAGGGGAGCTATACATAAAGGAGAAAATACTGTATTATTGTGCCTTGTATATAAAGTATCTAGAATAGGTAAATTCATGAATACAGAAAGTGGATTAGTGGCTGTGGGGCTGAGGAGGGACTGGGGAGTTACTAACAGGTAGAGAGCTTCCTTCGGTATTATGAGACGGCTCTAGATATGACTAGTGGTGGCTGTAAAAGAATATGACTAGGGGCTGGCAAGATGAAAAAAGCACTTGCCGCACAAGACTGAAGACCTGAGTTCGATCCAGGAAGCCATGTGAAAGCCAGATGTGGCAGAGTCACTCCCACAGCCAGATGGGGGGCGGAGACAGAACTGTTCAAGAGTCAGCTAGCCGGGAGCACGCAGCAAGGAGAAACAGCAGGAGGCCAGGTGGAAGGAGAGAACAGACTCCTGAAAACTGTCCTCTGACCGCCACACATGCACCATGGCACACAATACACACACACACACACACACACACACACACACACACAGACACACACGCATGCACTGGCACACAAATGAATTTTTTAAAAAAGAATGTGTGTGTGCTTAAAACCACTGAATTGCACACTAAAAAGTGGTTAAAACACAACTCTTATACTGTGTGTTTCACCTCAATTTTTTTCTTTAAAAGACAGAGCGATTTAGTAGGAAAGCCCTTGGTGAGCCTTACTTACTGTGGAGGGTCACCAACCTTTGCTTCCAAGAGGTGCCACAACCCTGAGAAGCCCCCTGCAGTTGAGTTCTTGCAAGGTTCACTTACCAATGACTGTCTTCATCACCTCCTCGAGTCCTGACTGCCACCCACTGACCTTCCTGCACTGCATTCCAGGAATCCCATCTGCCCCAAAGTTGGCCTTGAGACTGAGAACCTGGAGGTCCCATTTGTGTGGCAAACCAGAAAGAGGAAGGACTGCCTAACCACTAAGTCACAGACCTGGTGTGCCACAACCTCACCCCAGATGGATGGTACAAGCCACACCACACAGTCCTAGCAGCTCCGGAAAGAATGTCCAAGAGCATAGCAGCCCAGGACATGCCTGGCTCAGCAGACACAGGTTTCTCCAGTCATACGCCTTCATGTCCATCCCCACAGGAAGAGCAATGGGGGTGCCCCTCCCCAACCTGCCCCTATCCTAGAGCTCTTGTCAGGAAACAGCACATTGCATATGAAGGCCGGTGTCAGAGGCACTGGTTGGGAGTCTGAGGTTAGGCATTAATATGGTCTGAGTTTAAATCCTAGCCCTCCAAGGTACCAGCTCAATAAACTGGGAAGGAGGGCCAGGAGAGATGGCTCAGTGGTTGAGAGCGCTGGCTGCTCTTGCAGAGGACCCGGGTTCAATTCCCAGCACCCACGCGGTAGCTAACAACCGTCTGTAACTCCAGTTCTAGGGGATCTGATGCCTCTTCTACCCTCCACAGGCATTGCATGAAATGAATGCCCTTACATACCTGTAAGCAATACACTCATACACATAAAAGAAAAAATAACAAATAAAATATTGTTTAAAATAAGCTGGGAAGGCATTCAACCTGAGCACTCTATCATGAGCAAGACAAACTTGCCAGCAGCTCCCCAATGGGGCTGTAAAGAGGCTCCGACCAGGCAAGGGCTGATCAGACCTCAGGATCTGTAACATGCCCAGGCCAGAGACCCAGGACCAGGTCTCCACCTTGCACAGCCATCAGCCTCTTGCTCTGGAATGCCCCCTATCTGTTAAGATGTGCTTGTACCTGGAAAGGCAAACAACAACCCTCTCTGGCCCTCCTGGTTCCCTTGCCTGCCGAGTGGTTTTGAAGATATTCAGATAATTCATTGCACTGAGTTCAACTAGTACACGCCACTCACTCCCACAGATGTTAGTCCTTCACCAGAGCGATGCCCATTCCTGGGCATCCTGAAGGACACAGGCAACAAGAGCTAATTCGACCCACGTAAACATATCCACTGACCTGTGAGGCGTTCCAGGGCATCAAATCCATGTTTCAACGCTATGACATCAAGGAACGAGATGGTGCCATCTTCAAACCTGTAGGGGACAAGTGTCAAGTCTTAGTCACATAACCCAAGAGCATTCTGTGCTATGTGGTGACAATCAGGCATGGGCTGAGTAATGATCTGTTCATTGTTTCCCTCTGCTGCTATATGAAAACACTGCTCTCCCCTCAGAAAGGACCAAGACCCATCTGGCCACCTCTGGCCCTGTCCAGTTCTGCAGCCTTCTTGAAATATTTCAAACTTCCTATGGTAGACTGGCAGTGTGACAAAAGGCCCTAAAAGACAGTCACTGCCTTGAACCACTAATGAGAGTGAGTGGCTCCCATTGCTGTCCTAAGAAGGAACTTGGACAAAACATGCCAAAGCTCTTGAAATACTGCCATCTGACCACAAGAGGGCACCACAGGCAGGGCATCAAGTCACAGTGATCTCTGCGGAGCCTCCAAATGTTATTGTAGATGCACAGATCTCACTGATACAGAAGATGGACACTTCCCTGATTATCAGATGTTTGCTATGTTTGCATTTCATAACTATTTATCGTTTTCATTAAATTGTCACTGTCCACTCACTGTGTGTCAGACACTAGGCGCTAAGGATACAGCAGTGAACTGAGATCCATCACTTCCTCCACTGCATCATGTTCTACGGAGCAAGGAACAAGGCTCAGCAAATACACACAGAGAACCCTAGCAGCCATCACACCAAAACAGGCAAGTGTAACGGAGCTGCGAAAGCAGAGCAGGCACGTCAAGATGAGTCTTCTCTAGCAGGTCCTGAAAGCAGAGGCTTGGCAGCAGTCAGGACAAGGGAAGTTCACTTTCAAAGCAGCCAGCTTGACAGTTTCCATGGGAAATGGCTCCACAGAGAAAGCATCCAGACCTCAGCTGCGATGTTCTGTCCACACTACCGAGTGGCCACAGAAGGACCGGAGAAGCAGGTATGACACGAGGCATCAAGTGCTGGGGGACTTAACCTCAGCATTAGCAAAACCCATGTGACCAGGGTGGGAATAGGAGGATCAGGTGTTCGAGGTCATCCTTGGCTACAGCACAATGTGGAGGCTTCATGAGACCCTGTCTCAAAAGGAAACACATGGCCACTGGGAAAAGAGAAATCTCAGGGTGAGTCAGAACAATTTCTGCAATACCCACATGGAGGAAGGAAACCAACAGCAGCCTAGTGTTGAATTTTAAGATTCAGAAGGCTGAGAACTTGGTCCAGTCACACCTCCAGTAAGCATCTGTATTGAGTGTTACATCTTCAGTTCTAGCCTAGGGTTTGCAAGGAAAAAGCAGGCTTACAATGGCAAGAATACATTCTGCTCTCTCGGCATCTTAGTATGGCTCACACTGAAAGCATTTGACCCAAACCAAAGGGATGAGATCTGGTCCAGCCTGGTCCTCATGCTCCCAGCGAGTAGCCCCACTTTTCCAGGTCTTCAGGTCCCCTTATTAGCCAAATGAAATGTATGAAATGTCTTTGTCCTGCTTTTAATTTGTATTATGTCCCAAGTCTTTTCTTGCTTGGGCATGCTGCAAGACAAACCATCACACTTGGACTCAGAAGGTTTCACATTAGTACTCCTGGTTTGGGGGAGTTGGTCTGCTTGTTTGTAGGGAGTGACTTCGATTTGTTTTGTTCTTTTCAGAAAGAGTCTCCTGTAGCCCAGGCTGGCCTTGAACTCTCTATGTAGTTCAGAATGACACTGAGCACCTGATCTTCCTGCCTCCACCCTACAGGTGCTGGGATGATAGCCCCTTAACGTGTAGTGATGCCCATCTATACTGGCACTTCTACATTAGCTCTGAAAGGAAGATGTCATCATCCTGGTTTATAGAAAAAAGTATGATGGGTGGAGAGGTCAAGCCACATGTGGCCCCAGCTGCTGTGTGGGGAGCCAGCCCAAGACCCTGTTGACTAGCAATAAGCCATAGAACTAACCCCAACTCCACTGCCAGGGTAGGATCCCAATCTGCACCTAGGCCTGGGGGGGGATCTGAGCCACCTTCCCCCAAGGCCAGGGTCTTCTCAGGTACCAGCTAGATGATTAGTTCCCTACCCCAACCCTATCACATTCCCAACCCCTGGGGTCAGCCACACCCTGGTCAGTGGCTATTTGACTTTTTACATATTCAACATTCTGAGGCCTACATCCTCAGTTGGGAGGTTCCTCAATGACAGCCACACAGCCTTCCCTGCAGCCTGGGGAAGAGGACTTACGCCTCAGAGGACAAGTGGCAACCTGTCCTCAGTGCTCTGTCCTCAGCCTGGCACATGGAGGCTGCCACCAATAAGCAGAGACCACACTAGCTGCTAGGAAAGTGAGTTTGCCATCAGCTGTTTCCACACATGCTCTAAAGACTGTCAACTGTGTGTGTGTGTGTGTGTGTGTGTGTGTTCATCTTAGTTAAGATCACTGCTCCAATTGCTGCCACCTCCCGGCAGCACTCTGAGGCCAAGGCCTGGCATCCATCTCCCTTACTTTCCTGCAGGCCTTTTGTATCTTCCACTTCTAGCTCTTATCTGAAACCTGCTCCTCCACCTGTGGAGAAGCCACACCAGGGCAGAGTTCACAGAATCACATGAGGCACATTCCAGCTGACCTCTGCCTCCCAGCTCTGAGCTCCACCCCAGACTGTCCTAACCAGTGACACTGAACTCCCCTGACTGGTGTTGCAGACCTGGGTTTTGCTTGCACAATCCCATAGGTCCCTCATGCCAGCCCTGCCTTCAGCCCTGTCTTGGTGAAGGGCACAGGGCACCCCGTGGCAAGGTTACCTTTCTGCCACTGATGGCCTGGGGATGTAGAAGTCCTCTCCTGCAAGGTAGGCAGCCGCAGTCCCTCCTCCAAAGTAGCCTTTCCTCATCAGAGGAGCCACGTGCTTACTGACCAGCAGAGCACCCAGGCCAGTGGGGAACCCAAAAATTTTGTAGAAGGAGATGGGGATGAAGTCGGCCTGGTGAACTGACAGGTCCAAGGGGGAGGTGCTTACATAGGAGGCTGCATCGAGCAGTACGAACCACCTCCCGGGAGCACGCACCGGCCTCATCCGCCCAGACTTGATGTCTCCTATCCAGGACAGGGGATATCTGGTGCCCGAAAAGTTACTCTGAGCTGGGTAACAGAAAAGATGTGGGAGTTGACAGTGGGGGTCATCAGCTGCAGCACCCTGCTCCCCCACCGACAGCATGTCCTCTGGCTTGATCGGGGCAGACGTGACATTCATGGACAACACCACGTTCCTCATTCCCACCACAGAGGTGTGGTTGTCAGTGAGGTAGCAGAAGTGACTCCCGCTGCTCTCTGGGCCCCTAGACACCCATGGAAAGGCTTCTGCCACCAGCCTGAGAGCGGCTGTGCTCCCAGCTGTGAAGATCACGCTGTAGTCCTCCGGGGTGGTGTGGAAGTGAGCCAGGATCCTGCAAGATGCACAACGTCACATGCCTGGGCCTCAGCTTCAAACTGAGTGTTCCCAGGTGGTTTTACATCTACTCAGTAGGGCGACTCTACCCTAAAAAACTCCAGAGAAGCTTAGCCATAGTTGTGCTGGTAGGGCAGGGGCAGAGGAAGCCATGTGTCCCAGGCTGGCCTTGAATTCTGTGTGGCTCAGGATGACAGTGAATTCCTTAAGAGACCAAGTTCAAATTGGCACAGCCAGTTTCTCTCTAGAGTTTCATCTGTGCTTGGACACAGCAGAAGCCTACAACGTAGAGTGGGTGCTGCAGCTCACCTAGAATGTACCAAGTCCAGCACTGCACACACCCAGGGTGGTACTGTGTGCCTGAAATCCCTGCACTTAGAAAGTGGAGACAGGAGGATAAATTCAAAGTCATCCTCAGCTACATAGAGAGTACAGAGCCAGCCCAGGATACATAAGACTCTGTCTCAAAGGAAAAAAAAAACTACAACATAATGAATTACAGAGTAGGCTCAGATACAGGGCCGGATGCTGCCTAAATAAATATAAATAAATAAATAAATAAATAAATAAATAAATAAATAATAAAGAAAGAAGTTAGTGGTGATAAATAAATAAATAAATAAATAAAAGCACTGGCTGCTCTTGCAGAAGACCTAGATTCAGTTCCCAGCAACCACATGGTGGCTAACAACCATCGGTAGCTCCATTTTCCAGGGAACGCAATACAGTGGCCTCCTCAGGCATTGCACACACTTGGTACACTTACATACATGCAGAGAAAACACTCATATACATAAAATGAAAATAAATCTAGTATTTTTTTACTGTACAAAAAGCTGAGTATTAACTGAAAACACCTTCTTGCTCATGTTTCCCAAATTCTATCACAACGGACTTTAAGTCAGCAACCTGCTTAACATTGTTTTCAGTACTGTTGATCTGACCCAAACCTGTATCACTTTAACATGTGAAATAATTTGAAATTTGATTTAAGCAACATGTGCCATATGGATATTATTTATTAGAATTCAAATATTACATATGGAGGATGATAGAGTCTCTGGCACACAAAAACTAGTGAAAAAGGAGGGTAGCCAGGCACAGCGGCACACACCTGTAATCCCAGCACTTGGAAAAGAGAGGCAGGAGGGTCAGGAGTTCAAGAGCAGCCTTGGCTACATAGGGAGTTACACTACATGACATCCTGTCTCAAAAAATTAAATCAAATGGGACATGAATAGAATGCCTAATAAAACAACCTTTGTAAAGAAAAATCAGAAACAGCTCTTTTCTTCTTTCTGAAAACACAACTGGGAACCTGGGCCACTCCCTAGCTCATTGGCACCCATCCCAAGTCACCCCTCGTGTTCCTTGACCCCTGTTGCAATTTCTCTCTGCCTTCCAACCTGCAATTTCCCTCCTGCCTTCCAACCTGCAATCGATCACCATGAGTGCACTGCTCTTTAGCTGGGTTCTTCCTGAAATCCCCTCGGCAGCTGCTAGGAAGGAAGTCTGTCCACCCAGGTGGCCAGCTCGGGCAGACTTCCCTGTGACTCACCTGTAGCGTACCTGCTCCACAGTGTCGTGGGTGAGCTTGCTGGTGACATTCTGGCTGTGAGGGTTACCTGGCAGGTGACAGGAGCAAAGCCGGAGAGTCAGACTGCGGTCTCTCCTTGTGTTCCTTAAAAGGTTTCCTCTCTCTCTCCCCTCTCTCCTGATTTCTCAAGAAGCTACATATAAAACTACCATATGATCCAGCAATTCTACTCCAGAACCACCCAAAATAAACAAATGCTTAAGTCCATATAGACTTGCACACAAGCTGTTGTTCACAACAGCTCCATTAATAAAGTCAAACTCTAGAAAGAATAGAAATGTCCAGTAACTGCTGGACAGGCAAAGTACAGCATCCCCATACAGTGGACAAGTATTTGGCAATAAAAAGGAACAGATTACTGGCTATAACATGAGTGGACTTCAAAAATGTGCTAGGCCTTTCACAGTGCCAGAAGGTACTATGCAGGCTGCTGGAGAAGAGTTATGGCCGTGGCTCCAATAGTGGCACGACAAAGTGCTTTCTGATTGGATTTGAGACCACAGAAGGGGATTCATTTCTGGGGCTGTAAACCCCATCAAATGTGGCTGGAGATGTCATAGGCCTACTGGGGAAGCTACTGCTGTTATTTTGTTAACTAGACATGATGTGCCTGCCAAACTGCCTTCCAAATTCTTCTTTATATGCACATAGGTCAGTGCCGCTGTCAGCCTGAGTCAGTAAAGCTTCTTTTCGCAGTAGGCAGCAATTATTACACAGACTCATAACTGATGGAAGTACTCAAAACAAGTGACTCGAATAACCAGCCCCAAATGAGACATCTACACCACCCCCTCCAAGGCTCAGGCAAGAGGGGGTAGAAAGAATGTAAGAGTCTGGGGCTAGAGAGATGGCTCAGTGCTTAACAGCCCTGGCTGCTCTTGCAGGGGGCCTGGATTTGAATCCCAGCACCCACATGGCAGCTAACAACCATCTGTAACTCCAGTTCCAGTGGATCCAACATCCTCTTCTGTCTTCCACAGGCATTGCACAACACAGGTGCACTTACATACATTCAGGCATAACACTCACACACATAAAATAAAAATAAATAATTCCAAAATTTTTTAAAAGAAAAGAATGTGAGAGTCAGAGGAAAAGGTGGGGTGATGTACGATGCTGTCCTCCAGGCATGACACAGCCATAGAACTCTTGAACTCAGCAGCTGTGATTACCTGCACAAGACTGAGCCCATCAGCGGTCCATCATGGAATGGGGAGGGGTTCACGGGGACCTGCCCCTCCCTGAAGACCTATAGGCAGTTACTGGTTTCTGGGGGAAGGGGGAACATTTTCTTCAGTGGTGTGATCATTTACATGTGCCCATACTCCTGTAAATAGCCTCTCAGTCATACTCCTATAAGCAACCCTAATTAAATTCACTGGTTCCTTCCCCTACCAAAGTAAAACAACAACAAACAACATGACAGTAGAAGGGACATAGTTAGGAGGAAGGAGACCAGCAGGATGGGAGTGGACAGGAGAGGAGAGAAGGGCGGCTATGATCAAAACGTTACATACGCATGTGAAAATGTCATAATGAAACCCATTATTACATATAATTTATATATGCTGATTAAAAAAACTTCTTAAGCCGGGCATGGTGGCACACGCCTTTAATCCCAGCACTCAGGAGGCAGAGGCAGGTGGATCTCTGTGAGTTCAAGGTCAGCCTGGTCTACATAGCAAGTTCCAGGCCAGCTGGGGCTAGAGGGAGACCCTGTTCAAAAAAGACCAAAAAAAAAATTCTTAAAAACCACGGTCCAGACACAAGAGGCCACATGCTGTATGACTCCATTTACATGGACTGTCACCTGAGGCCAGTGTAGAGAGACACTGAAAGTGGTGGGTTAGTGGGATTAACTGTGAGCGACATGGGGGAGTAACAATGTTCCACTTGGCAGATGCCAGTGGCCTCATCACTCACAAAAATCACTGAAATGTATGTGGGAAATAGGTGAGTTTATGACATGTAAATTATAATTCAATAAAGTTGTTAAAGAAGAAAACCACTGTGACTACTTGTAAAACAAAATCAGACCTAGGAAGAAGGTTCAGGGCCTGGAAGTCAGCTCAGAGGTGGCCGCAGGCCAGCCCAAAGGCCTTTCTACAAGTTCCCCACAGGTAGACAGGGGCTCTGTCCATTTAGCCTAGAGGACCAAAGACACAGCTTTAGGAGGCCACCATCTGCACTGATTTAGTCCTGTTGCCCTGACCTGTGGGTCCCACCACCACACTGCTAGCTCTCTTCCTGCAGAAATGCACCAACCTCCTGCAGGTATCCGAAGGGGGCTGCGAGCACTCCCACCGCCCACTTCACACAAAGCTCTCCCCATATCACCCTTCCCCTCACCAACCCTGAGAATGTTTTTTTCCTCTTCTTGGCATTCCCTGTGTATCCCTAAGTGTCATGATCTCCCTCAAAGCTCTTTCTCAGACATGAGCCCTGTGGCAATTTAAAGGTGAATTGGCCCCCACAGGCTCAAGTGCTTGAACACTTGGTCCCCAGCTGGTGGTGTTTGGGAGGCTGTTGAGCCTTTAGGAGGTGGAACCTTGATGGAAGAAATGAGATGTGAGGGTTTTTTACTTTTTATTTTTATTTTATGTGTATGAATGTATTGCTCACATGCGTGTAAGTGCACCCAAGTCATGCAATGCCTACGGAGGTCAAAAAAGGGTGTCAGCCCCCCCACCCCCCGGAACTGGAGTTACAGACAGTTGTTAGTCACCATGGGTGCTGGGAATTAACCCTGGGACCTCTGCAAGAGCAGCCAGTGCTCTTAAATCCTGAGTCCTCTCTCCAGCCCCTAAGCATAAGATGCCGGCTTCCTTTTCTCTTGCTGCTTCCTGATGGCAGATGCAATGTGACCTGCCAACCCCACTTCAGCCTGCATGCCTTCCTGGCATGATGGACTGTGTCTCCTTAAACTGTAAGCCAGAACAAACCCTTCCTCCTTTAGGTTGGCTCCTGTCAGGTATTTGGTCACAGTAATAAGGAAAGTAACTAATATAAACACAGATTTCTGGAAATCTGGTCTGCAGGGGGTGGGGACCAGCATCCGCAGGGTAGGACAACTCATGTGCACTGATACAGGCTTGGCCTGTTTGTCTTAAGTTTTTTCCCCTAAACCACACCAGAAGGTCCCACAGGATTTCTGGCCACTGCAGCCACCAGGCAGTCCTTGTCTACATCCTCCAGCAAGCTGTGGAACATGATTCACGTCCCCATTGCCTTTCCTCCAGTCACTTTTTAACCCTGCATCAGTAGGACCCCAAACCTCAAAGCTGCCATCTCTCAGGCCGACTCCTTTCCCCCAGTCAGGGCTCCTGTGAAGACTGTAGGAGAACTACAGATCTCTTTGCAAATCAGAAATTAAAATCAAGATAAAATCCCTCTCTGGCATCTTCTCTGAGGACTTCCTAAAGAGGTGCTGACCACCCAGAGCCGAGATTCAAACCCTTTAAGTGTATTGTAGCATAAGATCATCATGAGCTGGGGTGGCTGGGAGTAGGAAGACTTGAACTCGGGCTCTGGAGCCAAACTGCCTAGCAATTTAGCTTCCAGTTGCCTATTCCCCCAGCTCCAGAAGTTTCCAAATGTATAGTGTTAGGTTAGTTCCCTGCCCTTTCCGGGGTTCCATTCATTACCTGTAAATCAAGGTGGCATGAGACTTTTCCTGGGAAGGCATAGAAAAGCATCTATTCGCCCCAGGAAGAGAGGACACAAACAGACCAAAGAAGAGATTCCATCTAAGTCCAGCTTAGTGAAGCAATGGGTTTACTGGGGTTACTCACAAAAGTAAGGGTGACTTAAAGTTGTTCTACCACCACAAGTCTCCAGGCAACTTACAGCTCAATTAGCTACAGAGCAGCCCCGGTCCAGGCAATTGTTTGTTTCTTATATAACCCTGGGCATGATGGGGGTCATGAGGATCGCCGGACTGCTACCGAGGCCCATGAGCCCCTCCCCTGCCTCCTATGAGGGGCTGTCAACAGACCCCATCTTGTGAAGTCTCATGTAGGTGATCACAGCTGCTCCAGTTCAAGGTGAAAGCCATGTTTAACCTGGAGGAAAGAGCTATATAACACAAGGGTCATAACAGAATTGACGGCTCTTGGCATGTCATGAGGATGAATAGCAGTAATATATGAGACACACTGGGAACGGTACCTGATACATCATACACAAGTGCTCAGAGTGGTACTGATAACTGATTGCTATTATGATGATAAATATTACCACTACTGCTGCTATAAAGACATTCAGCTCTTTTTCTGGGTTATCTACTGAGCAAGAAGTATTGCTCTATATGTCATAGATGACTGACCATCTTCCTAGAATAAAGTCCACCTCTGATCACCTACAGTGCCCTCAGTGGGCCTGCCCACCTTCCTCTCTACTCAGATTCAGCAACTGTCCTCCCCTCTGTGGCGCTAGACCTTGGTTTACATTGTTACTGCTGCCTGCATGCATCCCCGCAAGTTCTGGCTCATTAAACAGCATCCAAGCCCCACTCAGTCCCCCTAATGCTAATCCCACTGTCATTATGCAAATGCAGATGCCAGTGGTGCCAGGCACCTTTGTCTACAGCCCTTTGCACAGCTGCTAAGTATATTTAGCTGGAGATCACTTGATTGGGATCTTGTCTTCCAGGACTAGACCAAAGTCTCCACCAAGAAAGGGTCCGTGTTTTCTTCTGATGTTACAGCACTGTGGCCCCACACCATAGTGACTCAGTAAATACATATAGGATCAATGAATTAATGAATTTTCCTCACTTGTCCTACCTTCTACACTGTACATTGCTGCTTATAACCACCAAACCTAACATTTTTGAACTTACATACTCTTCTTGACACCAACCAGTGCCAGAAGGGGCCTATAATCCCTGAGCCAGACTTTTACACCTTAGTCACATGTGTATGGTACAGAATGATCCTGGGTGCTTGCCTGCCATTTGTCTGGCAATGGTTTGTACCTTCGCCATGTTGTCAACAAATCTGACATTGTTAAACACAGATTGATCCACTGTATGTCACTGACTAAAGTCAGTGTGTACGTGACGCTCCTTACCATAAATGTTTTCCATGAGATCCTTAGTGAAGTTTGTGAGCTGACTCTGAGGGAACAAGGTAGCTCCTGCGTGGTCAAGGTAGACAGTGCCTGGAAAAAGGAAAAGACACAAATAAAGCTGTAGGCTGCTCTCCAAGGCCCTCCAGGCACTACCCACATCTGGTTAGTGTGATCAGACTGGTCCCCAATCTGTTTTTGATTTGTTTGTTTTTGAGACAGGGTTTTATGTATCCTGGGTTGGCCTCAAACTATCTATGTAGTCAAGGATGACCTTGAATTTCTTATCCTCCTCCCTCCACCTCCAAAGTTCTGGGACGACAGATGTGCACAAACATGCCCGCCCAACTCAATGAGTTTCAACACTGCACTGAGTTGGTGATTGCCCTGAACCTCTTGATATGGAGGGCCCCAAGGGAGCCTTCCCACTGAGGAGCTCTCTTATGAGCCTGGAAAGATACTCCACACACAGGTAGTTCCCAGAAGACCTTTGTCCCCAATAATGACATAGCTATCCCTGTTCTGGGAGATTCGTTTGTTTCCAGGAAGCACCGGTGAGCCCTGATCTGTCTTTCCCACGTTTCTCCACAGTCCTCAGTCCTCCACAGTCTAGACCCACCACTAGAGCATCAGAGAAGGGAGAGGATGGAAGCCATCCTTTCAGCCTCACTCCTGAAGGCACAAAGGCAAACTCAGATGAGCCTGTGATACTACGGTTTCCCAGTCAGGTTGGCAGAGTTCAAAAGATTGCTGCCTCATTGTGGGGGTGAGGGTGCGCACAACAAGCCAATGACACATGGCTGATAGGAGGGTGAATTAGCTCAACTTCTTCATGGAATAACATTTTGGTAACATTAGTCACACCTTAAAATATGGCCACTTTGCCCCAACAATCCTTTCTGTAGGTGTTATAAGTACCCAGACTTTCACAAAATGATCTATACATATCAAATGTACCTTTGTCTGCAACAGCAAAAGACTGAAAGAAAATGTCCACTAACGTGTTTCAGATAAGCCTTATTCTAGACCTATCTGCTAGGGAGCTAGCTCCTTGGTAAAGTACTTGCCATGTTAGCATGAGGACTTGAGTTTGAGCTCCAGATTCCATGGTTATAACCCCAGCACTGGGAGGCAGATGCAGGCAAATGCTTGGGGATCTCTGGCCAGCCAGTCTAGCTTAATATGTAAGTGCCAGGCTGGTGAGAGTCCTTGTCTCAAAGAAACAAGGTCAGCAGTGCCTAAGAAACACCTGAGGCTGTCTTCTAGCCTTCACCTCATGTACTTGTGCACCCATACACATACAAACATGCACACATACACAAACATGCACACACGTGCATGCACACACACACACACACACACACAGAGTACCAACATGGAACAAATTCCGAGATACACTGTCAAATGCACACAATATGAATAGATCCAGTTGCTCCTTAATTTACTTAATAGATATTTTTGTATCATATAGGGTAGATTTTTGCTTGTTTTATAACAATTTCATTGAGATATAATCCACACATCACAAATTCAACCTCTTAAAGTGTACAACTTAGTGCATTTTAGTATACTTATATTGCCAGAATCTAATTCTAGAACACTGTCATTCACCTCCCAAAATCCCATCCCCATTCTTAGTCATACCCTCCAAAGCCCCAAATAAGTGCAAACAATGCCAGAAAGTAAAAAGTGCTGGTGCTCACTCACCTCGGAAAAACTCACGTAGGAATTGCACACACACATAAATCCAGACAACTACTGGGAAAACACAAAGTGACACATCAGTGACGGCCACTGGCTGCAGGGTGGCCATGATAGCTACAGCTGGAACTCAGGGGACTCCTTATCCATTCAGCCATTTCATTCGTCAACTTTTGAATCTGATGCCATTAAGATATATGAGAAATATTGGGTATATTAACATATACTTTCAATATATTTATAATATATTGAAAGCATTAGATGTATTGAAACAAATTTTTAAAGAGTGCTCTCCTTTACTAAGATTCTGAAATATAAATTCACCCAATTGAAAGGAAGCAGTAAACTTTTGGCCCAGCAGTCAAGGCCCTGTGATGTTGATGTGAAGTTCCAAAGCTCGGTGAGACCCAGGCTCTGAGAGCGCTGTGCACCTTGCCCAGAGTCTCCCACAGGGCCTGGAAGTCATTCAGGAAAAGCCCACTTTGGCTTTCTTGAACAGTTAATTTTGCAAAAGAAGGCAACTGTGTTAGTGAGATGAGCCAGAGATCAGATCTTAGCAGGCCAAGTGTGCAGAATCCCAGTCAACGAGCCAAACTGAATCTTGGTTCCCCGTAGCCTTTCTGGACCCCTGTTCCTACATCTGCAAGTGAGATGTGGGTGAGTAGGAATTTGACAGTGCCCAGCCCAGTGCCTGGAGCACAGTAAACACCCTACAATTTCCACTGTTAATAGAAGCAAATGATCCCAAAGCCACCTGGCATTAGATCTTCATGAAAGAGAATTCCAGGCTCTTCTGGGCTATGCACCTTCAGTTCTTCCCTCTGTAGAGTGGGTATCAGTCAGCACCCTGAGGCAGGAAGAACTGCCCAGGCCACATTTAGACACCCAGTGTACTCCCTTCTCTAAGACCAGGAAGTTCCCACCTAACTGGTTAAGCAAAACATTCAGTGCTTCAAGCTTAAGCACTCAACTGCCCAGAAGCACCATTCAGTCAGATACATTCTGAAACCTTCAGAGCCCTTCAGTGACGGGGGAGGCGAGGACGCATTATTTTGATGTATTAGGTTGGCCCGTTCTTCTCTGTCCTCCTCCAGTCTGTGTGTTTCTTTAAGAAATTTAAAAAGTAAATCTTCTGCTCTAGAGGTGGGAAAAGATCCCAGCTTAGTCCATGGAAGTCTACCAGAGGGGTGGGGAGATGGCCCAGTCAGAAAAGCGTTTACCACCCGAGTGGTCACGCTCCTTCACATCTCCTAGGCACCAGTCAAGGACTTTTCTTTTCTCCCTACAGTTAAGAGTTATGCAATTTGGGAGTCTTTTAGATAGACCCACTGAAGGGATACTCCAGTTGCCTTACCCTGCATCCCTGTTCAGCATGGAAGAAGCCAGAGTGGTCTGCAGCCTGAGTCCTTATTGGCAATCTGGGTAACCTCTTCAGAGGATGGTGTGATAAGAATAGGAGGTAAGAACTAGCTAGGCAGTTAGGGTAAAAAGACCCCAAAGAAAAGTAGCCAGTTTCTTGGCTAAAAGTCAAAATGTCGGGCCAGGCGTGGTGGCGTGCGCCTTTAATTGCAGCACTTGGGTGGCAGAGGCAGGCGGATCTTTGTGAGTTCGAAGCCAGCCTGGTCTACATAGCGAGTTCCAGGTCAGCTGGGGCTGCAGGGAGATCCTGTCTCAAAAAGACCAAAAAAAAAAAAAAAAAAGTCAAAATGTTCTTGGGCCTCTTAGCAACATACTCTGTCCCAAAGGCCAAAACTGTCAAAAATATTTGAGAGCTTTTATCTAATCCCTAAAAGATATTAGGGTTACCTCTTCAGAGGCGGGAATGTTAGAGTAGACAAAAGCCCCATTAGTTTAACTGGTCAAGACAAATCCCTAGTGTATCTGTTGGAGGACCCACCTTTCCAATCTCACTGGTCAATCACCTGGTGATAGAACCACCCCTGGAAAGGCAGGTTCACCTTAAATTATGCTAAATAGATGGGCACAATACCTGGTGTGTTAATGAGGTAGCGAATTTTTCCTGCCTGGAATACTGTTTTGTAACGCAGAACTTCTGACCAGCCACAGTTATGTAGCTCTCTGGAAGTCTGTCCGCTTTCTGTCGTTCGGGTCCATTGTTCAATTCTTTCATGATTGAGACTAAGGACCCTCTCGGGGACCCTCTTTCCCCTGTTTCAGCCAGGCCCAAACTATGGACATATGGTCTCTTACTTTAATTAAGAGACAAAATGACCTACAGTGACAGTATGTGAAGGTGGTTTGCAGACAATGATAGACTGGCACCATCCTTTGAAATATTCTGGAAAAAAATTCATTTTGTACCCTTAAAAAAGCCTACTGAATTTTTAAATAAAGTTGGGAGCAGTGTGACCCCTGTGACCCAGTGCTGGAGGGAGGGAGAACCCCTGAGGCTTGCTGCCCAGCCAGCTTGCACAATCAGTGTGAGCTCCAGGCCATGAGAGAAATTGTCTCAACATTAAAATGGAGGAGCCAGTGACATGGCTCAAAGGGTAAAGCACTTGCTGTGCAAACCTGAAGACCTTAGTTCAATCCCCAAATCCCATGTAGAGATGGAAGGAGAGAACCAATTTCACAAAGCTGTCCTCTGACCTCCACATTCGTGCCCATGCACACACATCATAAAGTCAACCTCTGGCCTCCACACACACACACACACACACACACACATACACACACACATGCACCTGTGCACATATGTGCACATACACAGCACACACACAAAGTCTACTTCACCCACAATGCAGAGGACAAGTTTGAGGCCAGCCTGGGCTACATCAGGAGTTCCAGGCAGAGTGAGAACCTGTCTCAAGAAACAAACGAAAAAACATTTTTAAAAACAATAGGTCTGATGAGATGGCTCAGGGGGTGAAGGTGCTTGCCGCGGAGGCTGAGGACCTGAGATCCATCGGGGAAACAAACCCACATAGTGGAGGAAGGAGAGAAGTAAACCCCACCAGTTTTCCTCTGATCTCCACACGTGCCACACAAGCACACACACAGTAAATAAATGTAAAAGAATTAAAACAAAGAACCTACACACCATCTCCCTGTGGTGTTTAAAAGACTCTGGAGGCCTGAGGCCACATCTTAAATCAAATCTGAGAGCTGTTCTCTGGGGAACAGAAGTGAAACCCAGAGGGCCCTGAACCAACCTTTACTTTTCAGGGTGGTGTGGCCGTGTGAGGGATCAAGTTGGAGGGGAATGAGAAGATTAGCAAGGTGTGGCGCTGAAATAATCACCCACCAAATAACACAGGCCCTGGGATTTACTTCAAAAAGAGATGGGGCCTCTGCACCTGTGAGTATTCATGGCATCAGATTGCTTCTGTGTGGTAGGAAATTTCCTTAGTAAAAGGGGCGTGGAGAAGAGGCAGAGAAGTGAGGGGCCGTCTCCAGCCAGTGAGGAGGTAGAGGTGGTGGACAAAGGAGGAGGGAGACTGGGGCAGGTCACAGCCCCCGAAGCTTCCAAGAAGGGAAAACTAGGTACTAGTCCAAAATGACTAAAGGAAACGACTGACGCTGTGCTTCTGCTGCACTTGGGGGTGGGGGGAGACACAGGTTGTTCCTCACCCGGGTCAAACATCCAGGTGCCCGGAACCCGCCCGCTGCACCTGCAGCCTCCCCTGAGGTCCTGAGCCTTGATGAAGCTCGGCAGAACTCAGGTTCCCCGCCCAAGGGGACCTTGGAACCCGCAGCAATGGGCTGCGCTCTGTACCCCACACCCTGCTGCTTCAGAGCTTGACTTCCAACCGCATCTGCAGGCTCCACCTGGCGAATTCAAAGGCGTAATGTGATCCCATCCAACTCACAGGCTCGTCCTGTTCCTGAAGCTCAAATTGCATAGTTCGCTAATCCTTCCAGTGGCCTAGCAAGATTATTCAGGTTGCAGGAGACAGAACAAAAATGAGGCTTGACGGCAGGCGAGCGTGAAGCACACCTATAAGGCCACAACTCGGGAGGCGGAGGCAGGAGGACCAGGAGTTGAAGGCGAGCCTCGGCTACATAGGGAGTTCGAGGCCAGCCTGGGCTGCATGACTACACAAGACGCTGTTTAAAATGACACCACCAATGCTTTGAAAAGAACACACATACACACACGCACACGCACACGACCTCCCGTGGACCTGAGGAGCGGCGGCGGCAGTCTGTCCCAAACTGAGCGCACCAACTTCCCACGCACCCCGGGCCCCAAGTCCGTGCCCCAAGTCCGGCTTTCTGAATTGTGTAACTCTGGCCCAGGGAGATCTTCAGACTTGGGGAGTCTCCTAAGCTGTATTCGCAGAGGGTGGGGAGAGGCGAGGAGAGAGCAGGCTGGTCCTGAGCCATGGACAGCGTACCGAGCCGTCACTGCAAGCAGCCTCGGCCGCTGGGGCCCTGGGAGCCGCGGGAGCCGCGCAGATGCAGCCCTCCGGCCGTTCCCACGCGGCCGGTTGCGCCCCAGTCTTCTGGCTAAGACAGAGCGGGGCCGCGCGCCTCCCATTCAGGTCCCAGCCCCTCGTCCCCGCGCCCGCCTCACCTGCCAGGCGGCAGAACTCGCGGTCCCGCAGCTCGCGCAGGCTGCTCCGGCCGTAGCCCGAGGTGAGGCGCGGCGCGCCGGGGTCCGGGAGACGCTGGAAGGCCTGCGGCTCGGACCCGGGCTCGGCCGCCCCGCCGGCCATGATGCGCGCCTGCGGTCCTCAGTCCAGGCCGGCCGGCCGGGGAAGTGCGCGAGGCCAGCCCGGGGACTCCGCCCCGGCGCGGTGACCCGGGTCCCACCCGAGGGCGGCGCCTGGCCGCCTGCGCTCCTCCCCGCGCTGACTCCCAGCTCTTTCTCTTCTGCGCGCCCTTTGCCCTCCTGGGGTGGGGCCGGGGCACTTTTGTCACCTCGCCGGGTGCGGCGCACCGGGATGCCCCCGGTCCCCTGGAGGGCGAGGTGCCAGCGTCTAGGGGCCCCGAGGGGCAGGAGGAGGGCGCAAAGGAGCCTTTCGCTTTGGGTGTCAAACCCGGAGGTCCTCCTGGTCCCCTGCGCTGCGGACCTGCAAGTGTGGAAGGCTCTTGGGTTTCTGCCGCGGATGCTGCCCGGTGGGGCGTGCGCTGGCTTTCAGAGCATCCTGGCCTGCTTGACAAGCTCCCAGTGATCTTGCGCGGTCCGAGCCTGGAAGCTCGGGTGTGGCCCCGGAGCAACCCCGCAAGAGCTTCTCCGGGGCTGGGCTCCCCGGCCGGCATCCGGAAGGCTGGGGTCCGGGCGGCTGTGCGCCAGCGCAGTACAGGGAGAGCCCCGCAAACCCATCTGTGCCAAGTGCGGGGCTTGGGGCTGGGGGTGGCACGTGCGCTAAGTGCCGCCCAGATCCGACGCGGTGGGAGGGTGGAGTGGTGGTTGGCGTGAGATCCCAGGTGGCTGTGGAAAGACCCAGGAGAGCGGCCTGATTAGGAACTAAATGTAGGGAGAGCTGCACGTGCTTTAAAGCCGCACACATTCCCGCACAGCAGAGGCCCCTAGACCCGGGAACCCACAGCAGTGTCACGGGTGGGAAGTTGCCATGTCCTGAGCTCGCAGCCTACGTCAAGGCCAGGCCCCAGGGCACCCTGGGCGAGGGGCACGTATGCAGTGGGATGGAGGATGACGGTGCGGACACGTTACCCTGCCTTTTCTCACTTCGTGCTGCTTCAGAGGCTGGGCAGGAGGCGTCCTGGTGGGGAACAGCGAAAATATGAGGCCCAGATAGTGCAGAAGAAATGGAATTCGAGTACTCGAGGACTGGCTCTGGGTGACTCAGTACTGTGGAATTGGAAGGCTGGATAGAAGGGGAGGAAGGGACTCAGAGAAACAATGTGGAGCTCCCTCCAGGCTACCTACGTGGAGATTCAGACTCAGTACGCGAAACTGGTAGTATTGGGGCTGGAGAGATGGCTCAGCAATTCAGAACACTGGCAGTTCTTACAGAGGACCAGGGTTAGGTTCCCAGCACCCACACTGTGGCTAACAACTGTAGGCAACTCCAGTTCCAGGGATCTGACGCCCTCTTCTGGTCTCTTCTGGGATTGCACACACTGGTGCTGTTACAGGCATGCTGGCAAAAGCACTCAAACATAAAATAAAAATAAAAATAGTGGTGTCTGAGGCAGGAGACACAAGGCACACCGAGGGCTTGTGGACAAGGGCACCTTAGGAGTTCTGGAAATAGAGCGGCATTCTGGCCACAGTAGCACTGAAAGGCTTCTGCCTCATGCTACCAAGGTGAAAAGGAGGAGAGCCAGGGGACAGGGCCCAGTGGCCTCTGGATTAACATAGTGCTGCACTTACTACTTGGGTGGTCTACTCTGATCTAGCCGGGAGAGTTCTGGTGTTCCAGGGAAAGGCAGTTGCTTTGTAATGGCCAATGGAGGGGAGGGGTAGAGGCTGTCCCACTCACTAGCTAGCCCCAGACCTTTGCCTCTTAATCTCAGAGGAAGTTGGGGGTCCAGGTCTATCATGATGGATCAAACCTGTCAAGTTGTTGTGATGTTGGAGTGGGCATTTCCAAGGAGAGTGAATTTGGTTTAGACCAAGAAATTAATTTTGTAGTTCTGGCTAGAGTGGCATGCACCTTCCTAACAGACAACCTGCAGATCTAGGTACTGGGGTAGCTAGGAAGTAGAAGAGGGCCAGCTGAGCACTGGGATGGCTTTCTCTCCAAAGCCCAGCAGTTTCTGCAGACACACTAGAGGATGGAAAGAAGTCCCCAGGAAGCGCCCTCCCCTGGAGTGACTGGAGACCTTTTCTGTGAATAGCAGCGGAAAGGGCAGCTTGGAATCATGCAGTTTGGAAACAAGGCTCCATTATATTTATACTCATGACCCCAGAGTACTCACAGGGCACAGGCCTGAGGGTTAGGCACACCCAGATTGGCTGTTCCCAAAGCTGTTTTCCTGGGAGCTGGGCATCCTGGGTTCCTGTGGAAGCAGCCCCTCCTCTCCCCCTTCCGTGTTGACACCTCACCTCCCTCCTGCTCTTTGTCCCCTCACTCCTTATGCCGCTAAGAAGGGGAAAGGGTCTGGTACCAGTGACTCTGCCTACCCACTGGCTGGTAACATTTGAGGATGCTTCATACCCAGTCATCTGCCTTAGCAAGTCTATCCATCCTTGAATTCTGCAACTGTGTAACAATGCACCCTGCTAGATGCTGTGGGCAAAAAGAAAGTCATTCTGGGGCTGAGTGTGTAGCTCAGTAGTAAAAAACTTGCCAGCATGGGAAAGCCCTGGGTGAGAGCCTCAGCACTGCCAGAAGAGGGTGAGGAGGGAAGGAAGGGAAGGAGGGAGGATGAAAGGCTGAGATACAGTGGACACCCTGTCTCAGAACCACAGGGGAGGGGGACTTCATTTCCCAGCTTCTCTTGATACTGAATATAGCTACAATCCTTAATTCTGGCCAAGGAAATTGACAGAGCTGTGGGAGACTTCCAAGAAGCCTTAGCAGTTCCTTAGGCTTTTCTCCTTCCTTCTAGATGGAATGCAAAAGACCATGGCAGGAGTCCAAGCAGCCACCCTGGCAGGTGGATGCCACAGAGGGCAAATTAAAGAGCTTGGATCTGTCAGTGTTGAGAAACTTCCTATCCATCCCAGCCTGCCTAACTTGACTCATTAAGAAATCATCTATCTTGTGTAAATCAGGAGGAAAACTTTTCACTTTCTTTCATACACAAAGTGAAAACAAACCAATACATTAATATTCTTTCCACTTACAAAGATAAAGGGAAAATTTGCCCACAGTGAGAGCTAGGGTGAGCCAAGATTGAAACCACCTCTACTGATTGATCAAGAAGAGATTATGACCATCACTATAGCCAGCCTTAAGGAATACACAGAACTCAGTCAAGGGGGAAAATGAGGAAACTTGTCAGCAAAGCTGCAGGCCGGGAAGGTGGCAGAGGTGACAGTGGCATAAGAAGAGGAAGGTGGGCTTGAGCGGGCAGCAGACTGGTATTCCTGGGTCCTTGGAGTTAGGTAGATGGCGGCTTGCCTTTGGCTACAGGAGCCTCTCCAGGACATGGGATGGGGGTGCCACTTTCATCCCAGGAAGAACATGGCCTCTCATGTCTTTGAGCCTCAGTTTAGAGTTCCAGAGTTATGGGTCCACCTGAATGTGGGGTTCAGAGTCCTGTATATCTCCCAAAGCAGGAATCCATTCTTCCTCTGTCCTGACCCTAGTTTCATCATCCTTGGCAGGTCTGTCATTTGTGTGTGTCAGAGCTCCGACTGGACCTCCATTGCTTGTCAGAAGGGGACTAAGGCCCCTTGCAAAGCAGTAATGTCTACAGAATGTATTCTGTGGTAGTTCATCTATGGATCTGCCTATTCATGCCCTTCTAATTTAGAAAATTATACAAAGACAGTATAGTATTGTGGGTTTTTTTTTATTTTATTTTTTGTTAAGACAGGGGCTTCTTGTAGCCCAGCAGTCCTGAACTTGCTATGTAGACCAGGCTAACCTAATTTCACAGTGATCTGCCTGCCTCTGTCTCCCAAGTGCTGGGATTAAAGCATGTGTCACTAAACCTAGCCCTATACAACGATATTTAAAATATATAAAAGGGTAGAAAACGATCCCCAATGCCCAGCTTGACGATATCTCTTTGTTTAGCTTACTATTCCCAGATACATTTTGTATATCTTATTCAGGACACTGTTTTTTAAGGCATACCGATTAACACCCAGGGAAAGGGTGTTTCTATGAATATTTTTAAAAAATTGTGATCAAATATAACATTTGCCAATGTAAGTGCCAAGTATATAGTTCTTTATCCATGTGCAAGTTCCAGAACCTTTTCATCTTGCAAAACTGGACCCTTCCACTCTCTGTTTCCTCCTCCCTCAGGCCCTGGCCATCTGCTGTCTTTACGTATTGGATTTCTCAGGACCTCTCATACAAGTATCTGCCTTTGTGGCACAACAACCTTAAGGATTATCCATGCTGCAGCACATGGGGGAACTATCTTTTAAAGGCTGTATAATATTCCAATGAATTATAAGTCCATTCATTCACTAGTGGGCACAGCACTCACACCTCATAACTGTGGGAAGTCACACTGCAGTTGACAGGGACACACAAAACTCCCTCTAACTTTATTTTTACAGTGTTTGCTTCCTCACATAACTGTCCACATGTGCATCAATCTTATTCTTTAAAACATATTTCGAGTTAAGTTACAGGCCTCAGCAAAATTCTCCTAAATATAGGGCCAACAATATGACTCATCCGTCAGAGACACTTGACACTAAGCCTGACAACCTGAGTTTGATCCCTGGGACCCATGTGGTGGAGGGAGAGAGCCGACTCCAACTTGTCCTCTGACCTCCATATGCATGCCATGGCAGTTATGTCCACATACATACACACAAAATAAATAAAGAGGAAAAAGTGTCAACAGAAGTATACCCTTAATGCTTACAATGGTAGATGGAAAAGGGCCTGGTTTTGGTCACGTTGCTTTGGTTAACACAAAACCAAATCCAGTGGCATTATCCCATTTCATAGCTTGGGGTAACCAGGGCTGCATAATAGATCTTTACTTCTGCCACCCAGCCCCAAGCAGGCCCACACCTAGCTGGTATCTGATGGACTGACAGCTTGGCTTCTCTGTTACCATCTCATTAAGCTCAGCCCTCCATGAAACCCAGCTGGCTTCTGCTAGCTGTGCCTCTGTTCATCCTGGTTTTCGCCTTGAGTTTACCTCTTGCAATTCATGTGACTAGCTCAGCCAGAGGCCGCAGCAGGTAGCACGGAAGCTGTTGCCACATTCAGCAAAGCCTCCATCCCAGAAAGCTGCTGCCTGGCCCTGAAGAGGCCGATTTCCTAGATGTGGTCCTTCTGTCTGGGTGTAGTACAGGGAGATGGCTCTGTTGCTAGAGAAACCTAAATTCACTTCCTTTGTTCACTAGCAGCTCCAGGTGTTTCATTATTATGAAAATGAGGTACTGTGCTGGAGAGCTTTAGTGTCAACTTGACAGACCTGGGTTGAGGGAACCTCAATTGGGAAATTGCCTCTATTGGACTGGCCTGTGGCCATGTCTGAGGGGCATCTTCTTGATGAGTGATGTGGAAGGGCCCAGCCCACTGTGGGTGGTGCCACCCCTGGGCAGGTGGGCCTGTGTTGTATAAGAAAGCAGGCTGAGCAGGGACCAGGGGAGCAAGCCAGTAAGCAGCATTCTTCCATGGACTGTGCTCCAGCTCCTGCTTTCAGGTTCCTGCCCTGAGTTCCTACCTTGGGCTCCCTGATGAACTGCGACCTGGGAGATTTAAGATAAATAAACCCTTTCCTCTCCAAGTTGGTAGTGGTCAGAGTGTTTTGTCACAGCAATGAAGAAACAAACCAAGACAGGTACATTCAGTGAACCAGAAAACCTGCAAAATTATTAAGGAGCACATGAAGTTATGGTACCACAGCACCAGACCCCAAGACCCCAAGCAAGTACTCTGTCAATGTACCCGAGGTCTTTCGCCATCTGAATTCTGGGTCCGTAGTTACCATTACATATAAAGAGATAAAAGCCTCTTACTACAGGAAGTCACTTAAACATGACTGTGGCTCAAGCTGTGATGTGGGGTACTCAAGCTCCAAGGTAATATTGTAACCACCTGGAGATGGCTGAAACAAACTCAGTTTCTAGGCACTGATCCTCACTATGGGGGTAGGGATGTGTGCTGAGGCCTGAAGGTTACTATACTGTCCTATGACATGCATCAAGACTGGATACTTGCATTACTTAGAACTTGTTAAAAATGCAGTCTCAAGCCCCCCACCTTCATACCAAATGCAAAACTCTGGGGTCAGCGTCAGGGTTAGTTTACAACCAGCTTACCCAATGACACTGATGCACATTCAAGTCTAAGAACTGCAGGTGGCTATCACACCCTGATTCTGTCTCTCCCTTTCTACTGTTAAACCCTGCACGCAGCTCAGCAGGGACTGAGAAACTAGCAATAGACCTGGGTCTCTTACAGACCATCCAGAAGTTTCGAATGCTGCCAGAGAGACTGTTTTCATGGTCCCTTTAAAATGAATAACCAAATCCACTTTCCTCCAGGGGGACTAAAGAGACACACCAGGGATTTGACTCCTGGTGGTCCAAGGCAAATATGTACTGGAACACTCCCATCCTGTCCTCAATCTAGAAGAGCCATATAGGCCAGAAACCAGCAATTGCACTGGCTGGTGCCTAGCATCAAGCTGATACTTGGTGCTGTGAACCCAGCAGAGAAGTGAGACGATGAGGGGAAGGTAGACAGGGTTGGGAACACACCTCAGCTGCTCTGCAGTGGTGTTCCGAAGCTGTCTCTGTTTTGTATTATGAATCACAGCATGGCTGAGAGGCTGCTTATTAGCAGACCCAGAGAAGAAGGTAAGTATGCATGAATTACAATATAGACTGACCAAGCATTTGTGAACTCTTCCTCTTCAAGATCAGGCCTGCTTTGAGGCCTGCTTTGGGGTAACCTGGGGTGGGATGAAGGTGGGGGAAGGTTGAGTTCTGTGCTGGACGGAGGTTCTAAAGGACTAACTCAAATCCCTGAATCTAAACACGCATGAGGGTCAGAATACTTGGTGAGAGATGCAGGCAGACTCCCGACTCCCTGGTGTGTGCGCAGGGCACATGGTTCCTGGCACTTGAGGATCCAAGGCTGGGAAGCTCAGCTGAGCACTGCTTTAATGCACACATGTTCACAGTGCCCCAGCTGAGGGCATGAGGCAAGGTTATACAGGTGCAATAGTCCAGAACTGCATGTCCAAGTGGGGATGACTGGGATGGCCACTATGGAGACTCGCAATGTGTCTGAATTGAAGCAGGCTTGCTAATTTCTTCACCCCTCCCCCACCCAGTGCTAGAACCTGGTGCATGCTAGGCAAGCACAGCATAATGATTTTTAAAAAATTATATATATAAAATAAGTCCTTCAGTGTATGTGGGAGGCTGGTTCCACAGATGGCAAAGCTCGAGGCTGCTCAAGTCCTTCATATATAAAGGTAGAGTATTTGCATACAACCTCCTTCCTGTATACTGCTTATAATTACCTACTACCATATAAATGCTATGTAGTTTTTTATTTTTCAGAGAATTATGAGAAAAAGTCAGCACACGTTCTGTAGAGATGCAATGTCCCCCTGCATATTCTCAACATGTGGAAATAGAACCCGCGGATAGTGGGCTAGCAATGTTATTTTCAACATAATGTATTAAAAGACATGAACACAAATTTCATCTACTTCTATTATGTGGCTACTAAAAAGTTCAAATTATATACGTAGCTCACAGCATATCTGAACTGCACTAGAAAAGGATGCACAGCACTGATCTAGAAAACGTGACTGTGGTGGGTTGGATGAGCAATATCCCCACAGCCTCGGGCATCTGAACACTTGGTCCCCGGGGTGGCACTGCTTGGGGAGGTTCAGGAAGCATGGCCTTGCTGGACGACCCAGGTGACTGGGGACGAGCTTTGACAGTTCCCAGTCACACCCCACTTCCAGTTCGCTCTGCTTGGTGTTTATGGTTGAGGATGTGAGTCTTCCCAGTTCTAGAGGACAGTCCATACTGCAGGGGCAGAATGTAGGAGACAAGCTTCTCGCTGCCGCCTGGATCCATGCCTCACCAACTGTGGAGCTTCCCTCCAAACGCAAGTCCAAACAAATCCCTGTTTCCATAGTTCTCTGTTGGTCATGGTGTTTCATCAACACCATGTTTAGCAACAGCAAGGTACCTAATACAAAGACTGACATCCTTCAAAGCCCATACCATGCCGTCCCAAGAACATCCTCGCCTTCCTTCTTTTGAAAGAGTCAACTGGCCAGAGGATTCCGTGTTCCAGGCTGCTTGAGCCCAGCCTCACAGCCTTCTCCTACTTCCCCAAACCTCTCTTCACCTAACTCCAGGCTCCCACATCCTGGCCTGCCTCAGCCCTCAGCTGCTCTCCCAGTGACCCACTCCTCTCCCTGCAACCTCCCGGAAAACACACCCTCCACTCTCATGACGCCAGCTGTTGCCTAAACTCAGATGGCACAGAACTCTTATTGTTCAGTCTCTAATTTATCAGTTTATATCAGGATATGATACCTTAAGCTCTGGAAAGAAGAGTCACTGTACCTTTAAAGAAAAAAGGATTGGCCATAGTTCACACTTACAGCTGCCTGCCAAATTCCTGGGATATTTGGCAGGTACTGGGAAGAAAGGGTCAAGACAGCACAGGGTGTGTGGTGTGTATTCATTTACAAAGAAGAACAGAAATGGAATACCCTGGGTTTCTTCTTTTATTTCCTATCTCCACTCTCTGAAGGTAATAAACAAGAAAGCAGGCCACCAGGTGATTTCGGGATGGTTTTTGTGTCCCTGCCCCAGGTCCACATGCTGGAAGCCTGATCAGATGCTGAGAGGTGGGGACCTAGTGAGCAGTGTTTAGGCTAAGAGAGAATTAGGTTTCTCTAACAGCAGTGCATTCCCATGAGAGCAGGTCGTAAGTGAACTTGGTAACTCCCAGAATCTCTCTTGCTTCCTGTCTTGCCATGTGACCTCCCTTTTCAGATACACCCCTATTGTGACGCTGTCCATTGACCCTCAGAGCCAGGGCCATGCTCCTAGATGCCAAGAACTCTGAACTGAATAACACTTTTTATCTTTACAGAGTATTCAGCCTCTAACATTTTGTTATAACATGAAACAGCCTGAGAGAGAGTAGCCAAAGAAAAGGCCCAATATAATGCAAAACCAGACAAATTTGGTCATGGAGAAATGTTCTTAATCTGGAACACATAGAGGTAGGGCCAAGATCTCTGACAGCATGAGTGTGCACGGCTTTCATCAGAGGGTCAAGGGGTCAGGACACAGATAAGAAAACCCATTCAAACACAAAGGTAAGAAAGGTGATCTATTTACATGACAAACATTTAAGGACCAACTGAAGATTCAAAGTGTGGCCAAGCTCATTACAGAGCACATCTGTTCACCCTGTAGATCTTCACAGTGTGATCTTCCCCACAGCTTGCGAAGTGCAGCCACTCCACACCTCCTTCGCCCTGCTCAGCTTTCCCTCTGCAGTTCTTCCAGCATAACCTTCTGATGGCAAGTGTATGACTTTGGCTGAAACAATAAAGATAAATCACACGATCAATGCACACCACGACTGCAGACACTTCAGTGAAAGTCACCACACAGTAATTTACTTGGCCTGCTCCTATTGCTGTTAGAAATAGTGCAAGTCCAATGCTTTAGTAATTTTATTTTCTGCTGCAAAATATCTTACAGACTCATATCTTACTTACTAGCCAATGACACCACAAAAAAGAACAACAAATAGCAAAATTTCTGTTAAAAGTTTTAAATGATCAATGAAATTCATGAAATGACTATTAAAAGCTAAACTTCTAGAGGCCTGTGAGAGGGATCAACAGTTTTGTAAAGGCACTTGCTGCCAAGCTGATGACCTGAGTTCAATCCTTGTGACCCACATGGTAGAAGGTAAGGACAACTCCTGCAATCTCCGGATCTCCATGCCTGTGCCATGGTAAGCACATGTACACATACACTGACACTCATAACTAAATCAAATTTTCTTAATAGCTAGCCTTAACCAATTGTGGTGTTGCATGCCTTTAATCCCAGCACTTGGGAGGCACAGGCAGGCAGACTCTGAGTTTCAGGCCAGCCAGAGCTACATAGTGACACTCTGTCTTTAAAAAAAGGCTTTCAACACAACACTGAGTAAGAATTTCAATTCTACAATATAGTTCAGATGATTTTATTGACATTGCTGTGAGATAGATGGACTTTAATATTTATACTGTGAAGAAAGACACTGAAAATTGAGGGTGATCTCACTGCGTGATTTGGGGCAAGATAACTAACTGTATTAAGCCTTTCTGCTCCCCAGGGGGCCCCCAAAGGCAGACCTAGAACCCAACAAACAGGGTCTCCATGAAAACACCACCCTCTGAGCAAACCTGCAAGCAGCTCCTCAGTGTGGACAAAGCTCAAAGCAGAAGAGCTAAGCAGGTTTTAAGGCAGCGAACATTGAAAGGAAAGTCACGGCACCAATGAGGACTTCGGATGCTGGAGTCCTGTCACCAAACATGTTCTTAGAACTAACAGGAAAGAATGAAGTGTAACTTTGAAGAGAGGTCTGGAAATTACCCCACCAGACCCTATACAACCAGTGGCTATGAGCTCAGGGTCTGTGACTTCCGGGAGACAAAGATCCATTCACCCCAGAGAGAGTGTACCAACAGACCAAAGAAAGGATCCTGCCTGCGTCCAGCTTGGTGAACCAGTGAGTTTACAGGTCAGCATGGGGGACTCAAAGGCTGTCAACTGCTCTGCTCACAATCTCAGGGAGGGAGGGAGGAGCTTCCTGAGGCTCCCCTGCAGGATGGTGGCCCTCTCTATCCACAAGGGAATGCCAGTGGGCCTGATCTCCTTCAGCTCCTCACAGCTGCTCTGCTTCAGGGCGGTGACAGCCAAGCCAGAGCAAACAACTGCTTATCTTAGGGAATAGCCACAATCCTGTGGTTGTGCCCCAACCTTTTCTGAATTCTAGAGAAATGCTTCTGTTTAGGAGACTGTGACTCCAGAACCCTCAGTGAGCACTCATCTTCCTTTAAGGATGACTGATTACTAAAGCAGCCAGGAGTCACCTGGAGGTGAGCTAGGATCGGGAGAGTTCATATGAACGACAAGCTCTAGAAATATGAATCCTACGCTTTTAAAAAGGCAAAATCAAATTGAGTAACACTATAAAATGTAATAGGTTTCCTTGTATCACAAGTTATCAAGGTTCTGGACCCAAGTCAAAAAGAGAAGTTCCAGCAACATTCGGAAGCTCATTTACGACTGATCAATATTAAAGTTCTCTTTTTATCACACTAATGGTTGGAGCAGTGACGTCAATGAAACAGTGTCCCTCCCAGGTGCTGTTCTGAAGGACAGCACTCACTTGTCCATATAAGATGATGGTTTCTGCTTTGTTTCTTTTTCTTAACTCCAGTATGTTAACATATCATATTTAAAAGACACAGAGGGCTGGAGAGATGGCTCAGCAGTTAAGAGCACTCACTGGTTGCTCTTGCAGAGGACCCAGGTTTGATCCCAGCACCCACATAACAGCTAAGAGCTGTCTGAAACTCGAGTTCCAGGGGATCCGACACCCTTTTCTGACCCTCCCCCCAGGCAGTGCATGACATAGGTGTACTTAAATACATGCAGGCAATACACTTACACATAAAAATAATAAATAAAAAACTTAAAAGACATAGAGGGATGGCTCAAAGTGCGAGTGTAAGGACCTGAGTTTAAACCCCAGAACCCATTAAAAGCCAGGCATAGATGCACACACCTGTAAACCCAACACTGTGAGGAGTGGAGACAGGAGGCTCACTGGGGCACGCTGGCCATCAACATAGTTCCAGGCCCAGCCAGAGACAGTGTCTCAGGAGAGTAAGATAGTGAGGGATACAGCAGGTCCCCTCATGTCTTCTTCTGGCCTCTGTGCATGTACACAGAGGACACACACACACACGCACACACACACACACACACTCACGCACGCATGCACACACACACACACACACACACACACACACAAGATATAGAGGGCCAGGCAGATGGTTCATACTTGTAATCTCAGCACTTAGGAAGCAGGGGAAGAAAGATTGCTGCTGTAAATAAGAGTCTAGTAGAGTTTACACATCAAGTTCTAGACCAGACAGGGTTATTCATAATGAGACTCTTGTCTCAAAGAAAAAACCAAAAAGAACACACAGCCAAAAGTGAGGAGGAGAAAGAAGGGAGGAAAGAAAAAGAGACATGGTGAACAGGCTGGAGCTCGGTGGTGGTATACCCTCCTGGCATGAGGCCCTGACTGGATCCCCAGCACCACACCATTAATTAATTAATTAATTAATTAATTAATTAATTAATGCCTTAGTTTTGTTTCCTGTTGCTGTGATAAAACACCTTGACAACAACACAGGAGAAAGGGTTTATTTAGTCCACAATTCCAGGGGCAGTCCCTCACTGCTGGGAAGCCCCGGCTTATATTCCCAGCACTACGTTAAAAAAAAAAAAAAAAAAAAATTCAGGCATACACAGTGAGACTAAGTCTAAAACAAAAACAAGAACAAACTGGGCATGATGGTGCAAGCCTGTGATCCCAGCACTTGGGAGGTGGAGGCAAGAGGATCAGAAAGTCATCTTCATCCTCGGCTACATAGTGAGTTTGAGGCCAGTGTGGACTAAATGAGACCTTGTCTTAGAAAGCAGAGAGCACAAGGGGAGGCAGTCCATGGGGTTGTTTACAGAAACAGTACCACGCAGGCAAGGAACCTGGTCAAGCAAACTAAAAACCAAACCCAGCATATCAGCAAGCATCAGATTCAGGAGGTACCACTTAGGAGAGTTCTGTCCCACTCCATGAAAATGTGTCACAAAACTTGTCACGGGAGAGCTCCCCAATTTCTATGTAATCTGATGGTAGCAAAACCAGGAGAATACCTTGGACTTGTGTTCACAAGGGGCATCCAGTCGTTTACTTCTGGGACTTGATCAGTCTTTTTCCAGGCATATAAGCAAATCTTTCCATACTCTAATCCGACTGCAACCACATACCTGTTTTTAAGGGAAGGAAGTAAGAGTGGTTCACTCTGCATGAAACTCTGTTATCTCTACCCGTGCTTCACAGCATCTAAACCATCACCCTGCACTGCTGTACCCAGACAGCCTCCTCTCTGAAGAGGACACATGCAGATCTACCTCTGTCCTCAGTTGCTAAAGCCCACGAGCCAGGGTTTTCCCGGTGGGCTGCAGTGACCCCTGCTCTCCTACAGTGCAAAGCAAGACAGTCCATAGACTGACATAAGAAGTTTCAATCACATTCCTATTTACCATCAATCACTGAATTCTAAGATTTAAAATTCTTAAGAAACATAAGCACTCTGAACACAGCCAGAAGCAGAGGCCTATGAATCAAAATGGTAATAAATCAACTGAGAAGCCAAGGGCTCTCTTCAATGAAACAAAACCAATCCCCCTGCCAAGTCTGACCTTTGGGCTGGGTTCAGCACTGGGCAGACGCTGACAGCTGTCACAGAGCCGCCCACATCCAGGACTGAGGAGCAAGGACCAATGTTGTGCTCAATGAGATCATCGTTGGCGTCACACTCGCCCCAGGCCACCACCTAGAGTGCAGATCACACTGTAAAGCTTCCTCTCTGCAAGGTTTCTAGCAGTGCATCAGAGTCCCAACAGATGATGAAAGCTACCTGGTTTGTTTTTTCTCTTCTTCAGAATATTTTATTATTTTTATTTTATGTACACGAGTGTATTGCCTCCATGTATCTAAGTGCACTCATGTTGTGCAATGCCTACAGAGATCAGGAGAGGGCATCCAATCCCTTGGAACTGGGTTAGGACAGCTGTCAGCCATCATGTGGGTACTGGGAATTGAACTGAGTTAGGATGGTTGGCAGCCATCATGTGGGTACTGGGAATCGAACCCGGGTCCTCTGTGAGAGCAGCCAGTGCTCTCTAGCTGAGCCCTCTCTCCAGTCCCTGGTCAGGTATTTTTAAAACCAGAGTTTTCACTTGTGCGCAGCTGCTCCAGAACGCCAGGGCATTTGTGCATCACAGAGAAGCCACACTGTGGCATGGACCAAGCTGAGACCACAGCTACCAAAGCATGCTGGTGGCCAGGTGGACAGTCCCTGCCCAGAGACCACAGGGCATTGTCTAGCATCCTTCCCTCATGCACAATTCCATCAGCAGTGTCCTCACTGGTGCTGTCTCCCTGAGAAACTGCCACAAAGGAACGGAGAGGCTGGGGGTTGTGGTGCACGCCTTTAATCCCAGCACTTGAGGGGCAGATGCAGGTGGATTTCTTTGAGTTTAAGGCCAGCCTGATCTACACAGTGAGTTCCAGATCAGCCAGGACTATCTAGTGAGATCCTGTCTCAAAAGAAGGGGGAAAAAGGGAAAAAGGAAGTAACAGTTGCCAAATGCAGGACCAAATCAAGGTTCTGCGCAGAAGGCTCTGGAAGTGCTTCCTAAATGGCAGCAAATGCCACTTGGTCTGTTCCAGCCGATGTGTCCCAAGAGCTGTGGCTAGGATACCTGCTACTGGGCAGCATCCAACAAGGTATCCACAGCCAACACCAGGAGGGACAGGAAAGGGCAAGGGGCAGAAGGAATGGGTGTGAAGATGCTGCAAGCTGGCCCATGTTTAGCCCGAGTGCCACCGGCCCAAGTCGGCTCTATTGTGGTCATCTGGATGGAGTCTATCAATAGAGAGGGCAGAGCAAGGAAAAGAACTAAACCGCTTTACCACCTCTGCTAGAAAATGGGGAAAGAGGCTATTTTTAAGAGTATGCAAATGGAGATCAGGGCCAAGTAGACATGTCCCAGGCAACAAGGTGGGGGTCATGTTCGAAAGCACAGAGACCCCTGGCTTGTCTGGAGTTTTTCAAGTTTAGGTCATGCTCTGCTCCTCTTCTGTCATTGAATTAAAAGGTATAACTGTTTATTACAGGAAAGTAGACTGGTAGGATGGCTCAGTTAGGAAAATGCTTGCCATGCAAGCAGGAGGACCTGAGTTCAATCCTCAGCATCCACGGAAAAAAATCAAACACAAGGCTGGGGACGACTCAGCAGTTAAAGCTCTGGCTGCTCTTGCAGAGGACCCAGGTTCGGTTCCCAGCACCCACAAGGTGGCTATCAACCATCTCCAGTTTCAGGGGATCTGGTGCCTTTTGTAGGGATTGCATGCACAGGTGCACTTATATACACACAGGCAAAACACTCATATATAAAATAAAAATAAATATATCAGGGGCTGGAGAGATGGCTCAGCAGTTAAGAGCACTGACTGCTCTTGCAGAGGACCCGGGTTCAGTTCCCAGCACCCACATGGCGGCTATGAACCATCCTTAACTCCAGTTCCAGGGGAATCTGAAGCCCTCTTCTGATCTCTGCGGCATTACACAACACAGGTGCACTCATACATGCAGATAATACACTCATACACATAAAATAAAAATAAACAAATAAATTATATATATATAAAAGCCACGTGTGGTGGCACACGCCTTTAATCCCAGCACTCAGGAGGCAGAGGAGATGAAGGTGAGCCTGATCTGTATAGCGAGATCCATGCTAGCTGGGTACAGGAAGACCCTGTTTCACAAAAACAACAACAAAACCTGAAAGGCGAGAAAACTGAAAGGGAAGTCGGTAATAAAATAAAATAAAATAAAATAGAAAAAGGAAATATTTTAAATTAAAAAAACAAAACAACAACAAAAACCCAGGCAGGGTGCTGGGCCTGAACCCTAAACTGGAGTGAAGACAGAAAAGTCCCTGGGATTTGTTGGCCAGTCAGAAAAATGTTTCACAAAAGTATGATCAGAAAACAAGACCGCTGCCCCATGCATCCCTGCTGGCCCCCTGCATCCCCGGCTGGCTCCCTGCATCCCCGGCTGGCTCCTGCATCCCTGGCTGGCCCCTGCATCCCTCTCTGGCCCCTGCATCCCTCTCTGGCCCCTGCATCCCCGGCTGGCTCCTGCATCCCTGGCTGGCCCCTGCATCCCTGCTGGCCCCTGGATCCCTGGCTGGCCCCTGCATCCCCGCTGGCCCCTGGATCCCTGGCTGGCCCCTGCATCCCCGCTGGCCCCTGCATACTCACTGGCCCCATGCTTTCTTACTCTTGGTATACCAGGTTTATTATTTTTCTTCCACTGGAGCTTTTAGATGAAGGAAACTGTGTGACAGGTCTCTTCATATTTTTGATGTTTCAGAGAAATATATTTATAGAATTTTTTGTTGTTTCTTGAAAGAGGGTCTCAATGTGTAGCTCTGGCTAGTCTGGACCTCAGTATGTAGACCAGGATAGCCTCAATTTTAAGGCGATCCACCTGCCTCTGCTCTCTGAATGCTGGGAGTAAAATCGTGCACCACCATGCCCAGCCTAAAATATGTATAGAATTTAACAAGAAAGCCTTTTTTTTTGGCAGAGGCAGGCAGATCTCTGTGAGTTTGAGACCAGCCTGGTCTACATAGTGAGTTCCAGGCCAGCTGGGACTATAGGGAGACCCTGCCTCAAAAAGGCCAAAAAAGAAAAGCCTTTTTTATGCATATACGACAGCGTTGCCATAAACTAATTTTTAAAATTCTATCAGAAAAGATTTGTGTTTTTAAACATATCTGTAGAAACATTTAGAAAAATTATGTTTTGGGAAAATATTACCTTTTTGTCTCGACTCCCAGTGAAGAAATAGTTACTATCAGGCGTCCAGTCACAGGACCAGATGATTCTACTGTGCACAGAAGTGATTTTGTTGGTGAAGGCGAAGAGACTGAAAATCGGGTCTGAAAAAAACCCAGACACACTGCTCACAAAGCAGGATCTACTCCTCCCCATGCACAGAGCCCTGTCTGAATGCAGACACACCACCAACTCTGCCTCAGTGCAAGTATGTCACTCAGTAGCCCCTCCACACCTCACTCTGCTACCCAACCCTGGCTACATGCACGTCACTATGTTTCTAATAGAAGATGCTTTTAGGTTGTCTACTTATTCTCTGGTAACTGACGACAAAAATCTTTCAGGCAGTCAATACTTCCAAAAGAAACCTGGAGCACTTTAACTGCGTTCTTCCAGAAGGTGAAAGGTTCACAAGTTAGGCTATAGAGATTATGGTAAAGAGAAGAAGGGAAGGAGAAAGAGGGGAGGAAGGGGACGGGGGAATACTTCTTCCTAGGACTGAAGTATAAGGTAAATTCTAGTCGTTAAAGAAGCATGTAACTGCTAATGAGGAAAGAAAACTACAAACTAATCCAATAATTCAAAACAATGCAATAAATTAATACCTGCATTATTAGTAGGGTTTTTTTTGTCACACATGTATTTACTGTATGCACACATGTGCGCACACACACAGGTGCACATATGCCATAAAATATGTGTGGTGGTCGGGGGCAAACGTTTGGGAGCTGGTGCCCTCCTTCCACCATAAGTGACTGAACTGGGTAGTCGGGCTGATGGTCAGAACCTTTACCTGCTGAGCCATCTCACCTGTCCAGCACTTCAACTTTCAAAACACAAACACTGTGTTAGATCCCTAGTAATGTTCAAGGGAAGGCAGGTGCTCCCCACCTGACAACGGTGCTGTGTCCTCACATGGATCACAGCAGGTGTGTTGTTAAGTCAAAATGCATTTAATATCATCCACCGAACATCACAGCCTCACACGGCCTGCTGCAGAGTGCTGGCTGTTTGTCATGGGGCTCCACTGCCACAGCATACCCCACATGGCTAAGCACAGGAAAACACGAAGATTCAGAGTCTGAAGTTCAGTTCAAACCTAGGCCTATCACTCTCACATCACTATCGGGAACCATCTGTGGTGCAGTGTGACGCATACTCTGGCCATGTCTTACAGTTCCTGGTTATTCTCTAAAGTATAAGAAACTACAGGAGCAGAAACAGGACAAGATCAAACTGGATGCAAGTGTTGTCAATGGAAAATAAAAAACGGGCCAGAACGCTACAAACATGCCTTAAATGTTGTCTAGGAGTTGGCCACTTAAAGAAACTGGGGGAACAGGACAAGGACATTCATGCAACACATAAGCCTTTTATCCATTTCCATTTTTAAAATTCTGCCAAGCTTACAGTGGAGAAGGGGGCCAATACCTCCTGCTGGGCCATGTTACCCACACAGATGTCTAACAAGCCCTTTCCTAAGACCATGGTGACAGGGGAAGAGTAGGAAAAGGCCAAGAATAAAGGTCCCTGTAAGTTTTGTAGTTTAGAATATTACTACATCCATAACACAGTTCAGAGGAAAAAAGAAACCACTCAGCAGAAGTTTTCTCAGTATCTTCATTCGCTCACATAAAATCCTAGCTGACTGCACACATTCATTTGGTTCTGTGACAGTTTTACAACCACTATTTTAGTTTTCTCGTTTTCTGGTTTGCTTGCTTGCTTGCTCACCATAGGGTCTTTAGAGAAGGAATCTTGTTCTATACCACAGGCCATCCTCACATGTGCTGCAGTTCCCCTGCCCTTCTCTCCTGGGGTTGGGATTAGAGAGTGCATCACCACACTCCATTATAAGCTATAACCATCTGCAAATCTAACTTTCCAAATGCAGATTTTTCTTTCTTTTTACACATATATTACTTGTTAATCTTATTTTATGTATATAAGTGTACTGTCTGCATGTGTGCAAATGCACCCGTGCTGTGCAATGGCCCGAGGAGGTCAGAAGAGGGTGTCAGATGGAATTGGAGTTAAGGACAACTGTTAGTCACCATGTGGGTGTTGTGAATTGAACTTGGGTCTTCTGCAAGGGCAGCCACTGCTCTTAACCACTGAGCCATCTCTCTAGTCCCCAGATTTTTGTTTCTTAACTGAGATGTCAGAATACATATTTACATAACTACCCAGTCAGTTCATGACTCTATAACCACAAGAAAGTAGTCCCAAACATCACCTGCACTTAAAAGATTTTTTTAAATCTTGCAAGGATGCCAGGCATGGTGGTGCACGCCTTTAATCCCAGCACTTGGGAGGCAGAGGCAGGCGAATCTCTGTGAGTTCAAGGCCAGTCTGGTCTACATGGTGAGTTCTGGGCCAGCTGGGGTTACTGGGAGACCCTGTCTCAAAAAGACCAAAAAAAAAAAATCTTGAAAGGAGAGCCAAGCCTTTCCTGGTTCCCCAGGCCACTGGACCCTCACAGCGGAAGGCTCTCCACCTTACCACCTTTCTCTTGATCTCACAGCTGCTTGGTGTGCATAAAATGGACATGGCAGCGTGACTGATAACCTCCTACCATGGGCTGCTTTACCGAACTCAGGTGAGATGGTATCCTGCCTTTTCCACAGTGACCAGGATCGATCTCTGGACACAGCCAGTAAGAACTTGTCGTTAGGTGAGAAGGCCATCTGTGTGACAGTCAGGGTATGGAAGACCAAATTCTGCACTTGTTTCCAGGAAGTGGTGTTCCAAAGGATGATGGCTGCGTGTTCCTTCTTAGCTGCCTGCAGGACAGAGATCATAATGACACTCTAGCAGTAGAAAAGGGTGCGGACTTAGAAATGAGTGTGCTGTTTCTGTGGGGTTCTGTGGGGTTCTGACAGAGCTATTTATATGTCCCCTTTAAAAAGTGTCCCCAAAGCTCCCAGGAGGTAAGACAATGGAGACCAGTCTCTGGGAAGAGGTAGAGAAAAGCAGGATTAGAAAAGATGACTCGTGGGGAACAACACCGTAACCATAATGCTTAAACTTTTCAAAAGAAAGATTCATGTGTGTATCACTTGTGTAGATAATAGTTTAGAAACCTGCACTCCGAAGAACATGGAGTAACATGAAACAGTTTCATTCTTGTGTGAAAAACAAACAACAACAGCTCTCCACACACACAGCTCTCCACACACACACTCTCCACACACACACAGCTCTCCACACACACACAGCTCTCCACACACACAGCTCTCCACACGCACACAGCTCTCCACACACACAGCTCTCCACGCACACAGCTCTCCACACACACACAGCTCTCCACACACACACAGCTCTCCACACACACACAGCTCTCCACACACACAGCTCTCCACACACACACAGCTCTCCACACACACAGCTCTCCACACACACAGCTCTGAGACAAAATGCAGCGCAGGGCGGGGAGGAATGCACAGCAGAGCACTGCCCAACTGTGCAAAGCTCCCACAGCCAGCACAAGTCCAGCTAAGGCTTCCAAAGCCCCAAGAAGGGAAAATGAGAGGAAAAGACCACAGCTGAAAACTTTCCAGTTGATGAAAACAACATGCAGATCCAGTAAGTCCAATAAAAACTAGACACAAGAAACAAGGAGAATAATAACAATAATCAAACTGTCTAAACCAGCAATAAATAAACAGTTGTTAAGAATAGTTGGAACCAGAGAACAAAACACAAACTCAGCAGACCCACCATCAGAACACACAGCAGGGATGCCATCTTTAATGTACAAAAAGAAAAAACAACTTTAAACCAAAACTTCACTATGAACCATTAATATCATTTTAAAATGAAAACCTGGACTTTTTCATATGGCAAAGCTTTTAAAAAGCCACAACCAGCCAGACTGTGTTTCAAAGAACACCACATGGTGTCTTGGAGCTGTGGATGTGGCATTATCTAAATGTCTTTAAAAGATCATTGCTTACAACAAAACAAAAAACAGTAATAAAAACAAAACAAAAATAAGTCTTACTAATACAGTCCAGGCTAGCCTTAACCTCACCACAATCCTCCTGCCTCAGCCTCCCAAGTACTGAGAGCACTGCAGAAGAGGAGGCTGAAAGGCTGCAAGAGCCAGAGGAAGTGCACAACCACAAGGGAAGTTTTCTAGACATCCGGACAGTTGCTCATAGGAACCCACAGCAACGGTGACAGCAAGGAAAAGTCCCAGGCAAGCACAAGCCAGACACAATCCCAGCACAGACATGGGGATGTGGGGAAGAAGCCCCAACCCTACCTGAGGATCTACTGGCAACTAATGTCTACTGAGGAGGAGAGGTTCAGTATCAAAATATTTTGAATGAAATTGCAAAAGGAGGTTCACGTCACCCCCATACCAAAACCAATGAACTCTATACAGTTTCGTTGCTGGCTTGGTTTCCTTGGGGGTTTTTTGAGACAGGGTCTCATGTAGCCCAGGCTGGCCTCAAACTTCTTATGTATGTAGCTGAAGTGGGTCTTGAACTCCTTATCCTCCTGCCTCCACCTCTCAAGTACCAGAAGACTATAGGCATGTGCCACTACACCAAGTTCTTTTTCTTACTTACATTCCTTTATCATGCATGGTGGGGGGGGCGGGGAATACACATTTCTTGGACTGTGGAGGTCAGAGGACAACTTGCAGGGGTTGGTTCTCTCCTTCTACCATGTGTTCCATGTTCTAGGGACTAAACTTGGGTGTTAGGCCCTGAAGCAAGCGTCAGTGCCTTTACCTGCTGAATATCTCACCAGCCCCTGATAAAGTTCTGAACAAACTTCTAGCAAATTGAATTAAATAATATGCAAAGAGAAAGTATGCCATGAAGTGCGGTTTTGATCTAGGAATAAAAAAATGATTTAAAAATCATAAAATGTAATTTATAAATAAAAAAGGAGATAGATGAAGGAGAAAAAAGACCTCATGAATCACTATCATCCTGGCCAGGTGTGGTGGCACACACTTGTAATCCCAGCACTCAGGAGGCAGAGGCAGGCAGATCTCTGTGAGTTTGAGGCTAGTCTGGTCTACATTTTGAGTTTCAGGCCAGCCAAGGCTACACAGTGATGCCCTGTCTCAAAAATAAATAAATAAAACTAAATAAAAGGAGAGGGTAAATCTGAGAAAGGGTGTGTGAACGCAGATGCTGAAAACCAAGAGCATTCCAGACATGGTGTCGGCGTGGGGAAGCCGGCTGAAAGGCACAGGGGCATTCTACGTGGTCATTGCTGAAACTTTTCTTTAAAACGTTCCCCAAACAAAAGGTTTATTAAAGAGTGATCACTCCTCAGAGAAATTAAAGACCTAAATGGAGGGGCATACTTTATACACATGTCAAATACTGTTAAATTCTCCCTGCACTGATATATGGATTCAATTCCATTCCCATCAGAAAGACTATCAATATCTTCTATAGAAATTTCAAGGCTGATTCTAAAATGATGTAATAAACACACAATTCAGAAAGAATAAAGTTGGAAGACAATTACTCTCCTAATTTCAATATATTAATAAAAATAATAGTTGTGGGTCAGAGCAACAATGTTCCACCTCTCCCTGGTGAGCTACAGACAGTTAATGGTTGCTGAAGGAGAGACGTTTTCTTCTTTTGGGGGGTGGGGGATTAGGAAGTGAGATTTACTAATGAACATGGTTGGTGGGGTAGGGTCAGGCTAGGCACAGTGGGAGTCCTCAAGAATATAGGATCTGTCACCTGTCCAGGGGACCACAACTGGGGATATTTGTGACCCCATAGCCATCAGAGACTAGTAAGCTACCACATCTTCAAACTTCATGAAACCTGAGGAGCCTCCGTTCTGTGAGATGTGATCTTCTGGTTCCAGGGAACTTGAACCTGGCCCTGCACAGGGCCTCAGCCACAGCATGGGGAGGACGACATGATGACCTGGCCAATGTGGGCCTGGCCACTGTGCCCTGGGGCTTCCCAAAGGCACCCCATATACCTCTCTGGAACCTAGACTGGGACAGCTTGCGATCAGAAACATGAATACCCACTAGAAAACTCTGTCTAGAGGGTCCCTTATGCAACCTACACCAGCATCAGGCTGCATACACTACCAAGAGGCTGCTGTTTGCAGGCACTGTGTGCAAGGCCCTGTGAGGAAAGGACCTGGTCAGCTTAAGTGGCTACAGAGGACACTTCTTCAGTGGTATCACCACTGGTAAGGTTATTGCATATTTTTTTATTGTGCAAAGAGGTTAGCACTCCCAAACCCATGGTGTTCAAGAGTCAACTATAAGAATGACTATGCGGGGCTGGACAGATGGCTCAGAGATTAAGAACACATGCTGTTCTTCCAGAGGACCCGGGTTCAGTTCCCAGGACTCACATGATAGCTAACAGCCATCTGTAGCTCCAGTTCCAGGGGATCCCACATCCTCTTCTGGCCTCCTCAGGCATTGTATACACGTGGTGCACTTACATACATGCAGGCAAAACACTCATACACATAAAATAAAAACAAAATTTTTTTTAAAAAAGAGCAAATGTGTAACTAAAATAGATGTACAATACAAACACAGGGTTTTCTTTTTAACTTTCATTTATTTATTTATTTATTTATTTATTTTATTTTTTATTTTTTTTGTCTTTTTGAGACAGGGTCTCCC